CCGTTTCACCTTATGTTGTACCGCAGCGACGGCTAGAAGCGCGAGCTCATAGCGTTGGCAGTTGCCCTCGGTGCACGGGAGCTTGTGCCGCCGAGATGTGCCATAGAGCAAGGAGCTCGCGCGTATAGCCTTTCCTGCGGTACAACACAAGGTGAAAAAGAGTATAGCAGCAAACTCATGTGGTTTATCGCTCATGCTCGCAGTGCTTGCTCCTTGGCTTAGGTAGTGTAAAAGATGCATGTCTCCATCATGCACCGACAGCCTGTGTACAACGAAGGCAACCAAGAGCTGCTACGCGTGCAGCTATAATCCCGCTAATTTGGTCTTGGTTGACTGCCTCGATTTTCCAGGAAAAGCCAGTCCTGCCAACATATTGCAGCACTGCTGCTCTATGCCGAAGAGAGCTGCAACGCCTGCTCGACGAGCTGCACCGACATACCCTGCACCTGGATTGTGCCTGCTGAAGGTGTGTACACTACGGCCCTTAAAGAGGCTCCATAGGAATCTTTTGCTCAGAAATATGTTATTACTTCGTACCTAATATATTGGAGAATAAGACCAACGTCCAAGCTGTCTTAATTATTTAGCCAAGCTCACCTCCATTGCTAGATAAATGTGGAACCAAACAGCCAATGCTTTTTGTGTTCGTTTTCATGAAAGTGAAACTCTACATTTTCTACATAAAGCAGCTTGGATGATAAGCTATTAACATGATTACAAGATGGAAAACCTAGATGTGGCTTATTTTAGAACTGAACTGACAAAATTTCTCTTTGCAGCCAAGAAGCCTGCTCCCCTGGTGCCACTTGCAGACATCACGTTCCACAAGTACCTGATCAACAGGCCGGTGAAGCAGAAGAAACGACGCTCTTTTGACCCTTGTGAGAATGTTGGTGCTGCTTCGGCTGAGGAGATTCAGCAACTGCGAGATGCCCTCAGTGTGTCTACACCGGGCCTCCAGTGGCTTCTGTACAGTGGTGTACAGCAACTTGGACCAGCGGCACCAGTGCTCCCCATCCAAGATGATGAAGGTTTGTGGAGTGAGAATGCCCGGGACGTTGTTGCAAAACACATGGAGTCCCTTCCAACATTGACGGAGGAAGAGAGGGAACAAGTGACCCGGTCCACCATCGGTCAAGCCAATAATCCAAGGTGGCACAAAGAGCGGCAGGGCAGGATTACGGCATCAGTCTTCTCTGCTGTCATCAAGTGTGTCAAGCCCGAGTACCTGGTCAAGGGTATTTTGTACCCGAGCCCAGATGCCTCAAGTGAGGCCATGCGCTATGGGAGGACGCACGAGGGTACCGCAGTCTCAGCCTATGCATCACTCATGGCAGCATTCGACACTCCCGTCGAGATCCGCGAGACTGGGCTGCACATTCACCCAGAGTGCAGCTTCATTGCAGCATCGCCCGACCGCATCGTGAGGAAGGACAACGAAGAGGGCCTTTTGGAGGTGAAGTGTCCGGCTTCGAAGATTGGGCTAACACCAATGGAGGCATGCAAGGACAAGAAGTTCTGCTGCGAAGTTGTGAATGGCGTGGTACGACTGAAGAAGATTCACGCCTACTTCTACCAGGTGCAAGGGCAGATGGCAGTGACCGGACACCAGTGGTGCGATTTTGTTTTTTGGACTAACAACACGACTGTTGCCAATTCGACGCACGTCGAGACCATCGCCTTCGACAAGAAGTTCGTTGATGGAGCACTGCTGCCAGGGCTTATCTACTTCGCCAAGCATGCCCTATTCCCAGAAGTGGTAACGGGCCGTGTGAGGCGTCGAAGAGCCCTGATAGCTCGCGGCCAGTACGTCTCCTTCAAGAAGTTCTGCAAAGGGTTTTATGTGGTGGAGGACGGTCCCGGACTGAAAAAGAAGCTGCGTAGGCTGGAGTGAAGGAGCGCCTGCATGAAGCCCGAGGCTTCTCCAAGTCACAACGGCTCTTTTCAGAGCCAAATAAATATGCTTGTCAGGGGCAGTGCTTTTGTAGCCACTCCCGTGTCTTTGAGAATGGTGTTTACTGCAGAAAAACAGGACACAGGGTGTGGTGGTTTACATTTTTACAGTTTATTACAATAAATAGAAAACCATTTGCCTATAAACAAGCAGAGCTAATTCCTTCTTAGACTGTTCAGAGTAAAAAACAACAAAAAAAAAAAAGATTTTCTAGCTCCAACTTGTATTAACACATGATTTGTTGAGGTAGCGTGTCAAAGTCATTAACATTACAATCGACTTTGCAGGGAAAAAGACCCGAAGTAGCCAAAACTTCGTTGGCTTATTCAAACTTTAATCTCGCTATTGATGCACAACAGAGAATTCACACTAGCTACTCATGTACTTCCCAAGCAATATATTCAAACACCAAAGATTGGTGCATGAGAGTTTTTCAAATAAGGAAACTCTGGACATAACCCAGCTGAACACAAAGACTCCGAGGCAGTAATCGCCCAAACTGCATACTAAACTAAAGCCAAAGAGCAAGTTCTAGATAACGCTGTACAAAGTTACTAGAATCATAAATGTGAACAGTGATGCACAGCAGATAATTGACGTTATCTATTCATGTACTTCCCACATAGCAGATTTAAGTAAAAATTGATGCACAATATGACCGAACTCAACACACTAACTATGAGGCAGCAATAGCCCGAACTGCATAAGGAAGATAGTGAGTTTTAGATCGACACTGTAAAAAGCAGCTATAGTCATAATAATTGTTGCACTCCTAAAACACACTGGCAAGATGTATAATCATACAAAAAAATGCACAGCCCATTAGACATTGAGACCAAAGACCACACACATGAAATAATGAAATGAGGACATCTAATACTTTGATATATCTAATCTAAACTCGTATGCCAATTGCGGATCACAGCCAAATGTGATTAAGGACAATCATGGCAGGCACTAGGGGGGAACGGTGACCAAGTGTGCTACTCTGTTTCATAGTAACTTGGCGAACTGTGGAGCTTACAGCTTCCGCGACCCAATAAGAGCGTCGGAGCGAGGCACATAAAACCACATAGCGGAAGCGTGTGTGTCACTGCACCAAGGAACTGGCTGTTGTCTGCAGGCCGAGAGTTGTGCCACTAAAGCGGTACCAGTAATTTATTTTGGTTCCGTTTTCGACCATAGTTGCCCTGCAAGCGGCTGATTACACGGCTGCAATCACCAACGGCCACGGCACTACAAGAAGAAAAAAAAATCGAACTGAATACAAATGTCGCATTACTTTTTCGGTTTAAATATCATTAAAATTTGTCAATATTTTTTTTCATTAATTTTTTTATATTTATTCTTAATAAAGATGGAGTCACTCAAGTTCAGTTAGCACAAAAAAGAAAGAAATGAAACATTGAACAACTCTTTGGCGACATCTCGGTGCCCCCAAAAACGACGCCTCGGAGGCCTCAACCATGGAGTCTTATCATGTGACTTGCTCCGACGCTCTTATTGGATCATGGGGGCCGCAGCCTCCATAGTTCGCCAAGTTATTGTGAAATGGAGCATAGCATGTCACAGCACAAAGCATGTAAAGCGAAAGCTCTAGTCACAAAGCCCAGGGATCCTAGGTACGATTACCACCCCCGTTAATTTTTATGAGCATCAAACCAGGATGCGTTAGTGTTATTACTACTGCATGATGCACGTTAGAGACCATATGCTAGCGGTCGTACTGCAAAATTTCTCTCATCTAAAGGGGATGTCCCCCAGTGAGAGTTAAAGGGATACTTCAACGAAATTTGAAATATTCCCGTCGTGTTCAAAAATAGGTTGAATATGATCCACAATATCCGTAAATGACAATGGCACGTTTGTATTTTGAGCCTGGTGGCTGTATTTTTCGTTATAAACGGCGCACTCTGGCAAGCGCTCGGAGAAGGCCGAGCGGAGAACACGTGACATCCAACGCAATCGTGACGTAGGTCGTCTCAAGACGAGCAAAGCTACGGCGAGACTGACGTCGAGAGGATGGCCTAGTCGTTCCAGCCACCGAAGCGGCTGCTTTTGTACGAATTTTGAGTGACGGGTTAATCTTCTATAATCTTGTAGGGGGACAATAGCGACTTCTGCGACACACAAAAGGCATTCTCGGGAAGAGGGGAGTTCCTCCTGCCCCTCTTCTCTCGTAGTGGCCGGAGACGAGACAACCTCCGTCACTAGCTGTCAAGGTTCCTAGACGGGCATTACAAGCGAGGCGTTAGCGACATCCACCAGGTGCTCTTTGTTAATCGTTTAATTCGTTTTAAATTTCTTTTCATGACTTTTTTAACAAGATATTGGTATGTTCGATGTGATGCTGCTTTTTTGAACACATATAGACCAAAAAATGAGCGCCGAAATTTCGTTGTAGTATCCCTTTAAGGGCACGAGACAAATAGTGAAAAGAGGGGCGAGATGCATTGTGTTACTGTTCCAGGGTATTATTCCAAAACCGAAGTCGTTGGTGCACGAGAAACAACCTTCTATTACATTAATATTAAAGGAGCTGTGCAACGATTTTAACGTTGAAAGAATTGGCATCTTCTGCTTTTGATATTGTTCACCTTGTCACAAATGACAGAAAACACACCTCCTTTCGTCGAAATGTTGCGATTCCGCCACGTACTAGCGAGGCAAAACTTAGAATACGTATTCCCCGACCTGCAGCTGCGAGCGGCGGCCATGAGAAACACGCGGCGTGACGTCAATGGGGAGTCTTGTAGAAAGATAGCAAGTTGTGCGAATACCTGCTCGATAAAAGGTAACTTTTCTATAAATGTTGTACTTCCAAAATGCATATAAATGCGTCAAAAATCTGGTATCATCGACAAAACTTTTACTATACGGAATTTTAGTGGCGCCATCTATCCTAGATCCACAAAAGCGTCGGCTCTCTCTGCTACCGCGAACAGCCGCCAGAAGCCGGAGGGGGAGGGGGACAGGGCCGGACGGGTGTGGCCGGACCCGGATGAGACTTTCCTACTTTTACCATATTGTTTGCGCGGCGCCCGCCAGCACGTGGTCGCGAGCGGATGAGTTCTCGCTGCTCACTGATGGCTCTAAAGTGAGAACTTTTCCGGAACCCTGTGGTCCATTTAGAGTACCTCAAAACCATCTCCGACGTGCTGCATTTAAAAACAAAACCCTGGAGTTCAACCACAAAAAGGAAGTTATTCTAAAATGTTTATCAAGCTGAAGGTTGCCACTGAAGCCGACACATATGTCCTGCTGCTACTCAGCACGGCTGAGTGGCATACGAAAGTTGCTTAAAAAGCAACAAACCTGAAACGCCTCATCTGCAATATCTATCATGGAGATGGGGAAGGGTCGATCAAGGAAGTGAAATTGCTTAATCCTTCCGATTGCGCGTTCAATAACTACACGTGCACTGGCCACCCGCCGGGTGTGTGCCACATCTTCCTCCGGCATCTGAGGTTCGTTCGGCTGCCTGAAACACGGAATGTGCACTTGCACTCCAGGTGGTAGGCTATTAAATTTGAATCCCTTGTCTACCATGATGGCATCGCCCGATTCCAACTGATCCACGAGCCCACTCTCCTCAACTATCATTCTGTCTGACACAGTCCCACCCCACAGTTGTGAAACATGGCAAATGTACCCTTCGGGCGTACATCCAACAACCGCTTTGTAGGTGTTGTAGTGTTTGTAGGGCGAGAAGGTCTGCCTCTGAGCAAGCAACGACGACGGCTTCTGGATACGTACCTCAGTTCCATCAAGGACAGCCCTCGTGTTAGAAAACTTGTGGAAGGCATTAGGGAGGTTGGGCTGAATCTCAGCAACTGTCGGAAACTGTAACAGTACCCTTAACTGTCGCTGGAGAAACTTGATCCACGTAACAAACACCTTGCTTACCTGCCCTTCAGAAATGTTGAAGTTGCGGGCCAGTTCCTTGCCTGCCATCCCTGTCCTTAACCGCACGAGGACCATAAAAAACTCGTCAATCAGAGACATTTCCCGTGTGCGGTCTTTGGTCTCACCAGCTGTCTTTCTGTTACCTAACCAGTAGGTCATCTTGGCTGCCCGAAGCTCAAGAAAATTAAACAAATTCTGAAAAACTGAAAACTCAGGCAGCCCAGTATAATATAAACAGTTCTTAGGCTCCTGGATAGTGTTGAGACTAAGCTGCCTGGCTTGCAGGTGGCAAACCTGCCTTTCGAGACGTTGTTTGTCTGCTTGCAGATCAAGAATGACCTGCTGCATTTTGGCCATCTGCAGGTCACGCAGCTTGGACACCTCAGGATTCCCAGCCATCATGATTAGGCCGACAGCGGCATCCTTCTCCATTTCTGTAAAGGAAGCACAGATAGATACATGAATCTTATGCTGAGTGAAGTTGCCCTATTCTGCACATAATGTGTCATCTGAATTTACTTGTAAGCTCAAAGTACACTAAATTATTTTGCTGGTGCCAAATGGAGGGCAAAGCATGCCAACACTATACCTTACCCTCGCAATGACTAACTGACAATAGTATGAGCAGGAGTGGGTAGCTTTCACTGGTACCCCTGTGGAGAGCTTCTATGCATGTTTGCAAGTCCGGCTTCAGGGCACTGTCATCCTGCTCGGTTGAGGTGCGCTTGGACGCGTCATAATCTGATTATGGCCACACCCAAGCGCACCCCACTGGGCAAGATGGTGGCTCCCTAAGACCAAACTTGCAAACGCGTAATTTCGTGATGAAATGCAGGGGGCTCATACATACGTCATGCATTCACTCCATGTCAGCTGCGTGACTTATGTACTGCAGCTGAAACGTTGTCATCTACACCATCCAGTAGCAGATTGCACAGGTGTACAGCATCAAGCTCATAATTGGGAGCTAGTGTAGACTGGTGCATATACTGTATCTTCTTTAATTAATCCTGCACATACACAGTCATTCTTTGTTATAAGACTTACATAATTTTACTGAGATAACAGGAAGGGAGGGGGGTAGTCGAAAGAAATGTTATCGCATTTAACAAATAAAGAAAGCAAACTTCTTTCCGATGTCCTAAGCAGAGTTAAGCTATTTCCTTAGTTCAAAAATGTATATGAAGGGCTATAATAATCTAAATACTTAATTTCCTTCACGGTATCACAGCAACCACCTAGTACACATGCTGGTGTGTAGCAGCAGCTCATAGTCCCATGAGTCAATATTTGTTCTGATGGCACAGCTGCCTATGATCCAATCTTTTTGGGAATCCTAATTTATTTTGCAGTGCCTTTGTAGACCTCGAGGTCTGAACACTCCAGCCAAACAATTAAATTAACACCTTTTATGGAGTCTTGAGTGCATGGGTCTTCCACCGCCTCTTCAGGCATCTCCAAAGAGACGTCACTTGCCAGCTGTGCAGCTACCTGCTGCACACAGGTGGAGACAGCACCACTCCTTGGGGCTGGATTGTTGTTCAAGAAGGACACAAAATTTTAGTGACAAAACAAGCAAGGCTGGGCCTGTTTGCTCGAAGCACTAACCGCGGCTAAAGTTAGCCGCAGTAACTAGGAGAGGGATTTTTAAATCACGTGACTGGCTCGGTAGGGATGCGGGGAAACATGACGGTGCCCCGGTGAGTGAGCGCTGCTCCCTTTGGAACAAATATGTTGTTGAAGCTGCAATATCAGGCGCGTTAGTCAGCAACGAATGGTGCAGGAGGCTTTTGCTTTGCCTTACCTCACTTAAATCGCAAAGCATGAGCAATGACCTCGCCGCATTTTTTTAGATGGTCTTGATTTTGGCCTTCCTAAGCCTAAATGAACGCGGTAATTGTCGAGATGGTAGCGTCTTTGGAAAGTGGGTTGCCTTGACTCAATCGGCCGGGTATTGATAGCACACAAAAGCAGACAGCATTCCAATAGACCTTTTTCTAAATTGCCCAAGCATCGAGAACGCTGGTAGTGTAATTCTGCGGCCTGCCCGCGGACCATAGATTCCAAGTAAATAATCATAATAAGGCTTTGACGAACGCGCGTGCAAGGCAAAATTTGTTTTCGACTTTTTGCCTTAGAACAATTACTACTGCAGACGCCAGCACGTGCAATGCATGTAACTACACTCGTAGCATGGACCTCGGCGCTTGGGAAATTTAGAAAAAGGTCTATTGAGGTGCTGTCTGCTTTTGTATGCTATCAATACCCGGCCGATTGAGACAAGGCAATCCACCTTCCAAAGACGTTGCCGTGCCGACAATTATCGCGTTCATTTAGGCTAGGGAATGGCCAGAATCGAAAGACTATCTAAATAATGTGGCGAGGTCATTGCTCATGCTTTGCAATTTAAGTGAGGTAAGGCAAACTGAAAGCCTCCTGCACCATTAGTTGCTGACTAACACGCCCGATATTGCAGCTACAACGATATATTATTTCCAAAGCGAGCGGCGCTTACTCACTGGGGTGCCGCCATGTTCCCCCTTATTCCTACCGAGCCAGTCACGGGATTTCAAAATCCCTCTCCTAGGTACTGCGGCTAACTTTAGCCGCGGCTAGCGCTTTGAGCAAACGGGCCCTGGAGTATGATTAGAGCAACTTGCTATAATCATATCAGACAAAGGCAATGGGCCAGCTGACAAGTCAAAAGACAAAAACTGAAGTCGTGGTCACATGCAGGTTTCTTGAACCAATGAGCGTAGATGAAAAAAGGCCCGTTCACGCATCTGCATTTGGGGCAGCCAGAACATTTACAAACTCCAACAATGTTGCAACGACGAGTTGTCATAGCAACGGAGCACCAAGCACCCGGTCGTTTCTAACGGAGCAAGTAGGATCGGGTCAAACTTCTATGCTGCGTCTCGAGCGACTGAAAGAAGCGACCAATCACGTTTCAAGAAGAGAGCTGTCACGTGTATGCCCGGCGGCCGCGACCCGCTGGCAAGCACTTTGCCAGAGATCAACGTTGGCGTGGCATGGCAGACTGAGTGAAAATTCATTGTGCATGTGGAGTGCTACCGTGGTTGCAGCGGTCTAGACGCATGTCCCGATGGTGTACCAACACGTCCTCGAAGAGACGAGCTATTTGGTGCAACGACAACATGACAGCACTTGGAAGGGAAACATTCTTGCCTACGTGTTTGCTCGTGCCCGTCTGCACTATTGGTGCATAGCATTTTAGAGAAGCAATTATTTTACTTTTCTACTTCAGGGATGTGAAATTAGTGCTAGCATTCTTGAATGTTTACTTCACTCATGCAATGTCTAAATCGTTTCTCTTTTTAAGTGTGTCGCACCTACATCTGTTTTCACCTCAAGAGAAAAGCGAGTCTTGCGCATTGTTCATACGCAGGGCAAAGTAGTTCTTACAAGATTTAGTTATCAGAGAAAAAAGCAACGCTTTTTGGAGTTTGGAATGTGTACGTCTTGATAAGATAACATACATCTAATCTAGAATGCACCTACATATATCTTAATTCTCTACATAAAGGTGGAAATCAGTAATGCTCCACAAGGCGGCGAACTTTTTTTACTACGGTTCTTGATGTGAAAACAGGTATAAAATTATATCTGTTCCTAAAAAAAATTGTAGAAGTAGAATGTGGCTAGATTTGTGTCCTCCGCATGGTCTGGTGCTCTGTCGGCATCATCTCAGGATGGTGTGTCACCTAACATTCTTTCACTGGGTCCTGCGAACACTATCTCAAGAAAACAAGGCAAGGGAATAAGCCCCGCATCTAATAATAATAATTTAGTAGCAATGACTGAGTTAGTAGTCGATCCTTACCTTCGGGCAGTGGCTCTACGTTCGAAATACCCGTTGAGATTGAGCACGGGAATGGGTTACCGCCGGAACCTTCTGGAAGGGGGTCGGCAACTGGGAGCTCCTTAGCAAGGGCCAAGGAGGGTACTGCTGCTGCAGAAGGCTGGGCTGCTGGCTGTGATGCTCCCTGCTGCACGCACGCAGAACCAGCACTTCGTACTGGTTCGTTGTTTGAAGATGACATACAATATCAGAGGCGAAACAAGTAAAGCTAGAGTGTGATTATGGTGATTTGCCCACATTCTCAGTTTGGTACAGGCCACTTGGACTTACTGGAAAATGAAACGCGCAAGGTTATGCTTGTTTGAGGTTGACGAGCAAGGACACACACAAACCAGAAGATGCTGTTTAATACTACTAGCTCGCGATTAGATGAGTTCGTCATGTAAAATGGCTAGTTGGTGCACTGACTGTTATATAGGCAGATTTCGCGCTTCCATATGCGCACGATTATAAAGTCCAGTCAATACCGATCAACCGTCGTCAGGCAGAGGAGTTAATAAGCGCGAACACAACAAAAACGTCGGCGGGCATACATTTCTAAGAACTGGCATTAGAAAAGGTCGCTCCAGAAGCGATGAACGCGCGCATCCTTTTTACGAGACGCACGTCTTTTTTCTTGTCTTGTTCAGACGGCGAATTCAAAACGCGAGTAAAATTCCACAGCGTGAACGCGCCTTTATGACCATCGTCACTTCGTACCTTCAGTGGACCCGCGATGTTTCCATCGCTCGTAGCGATCGAGAGATGGCTGCTGTTTCCGGTGAGCAAAGATAGTCGGCACATGGTCCGGGTGGTGCCTATCCAGCGACGGTTTTCCTGTTTGATAGAGCGGCAATGTAACGATCATGCAACTACCCAACGCTTTGTGTTTGTTTTTCTCAGCTGCGATTGAAGCGACTTACCAGTGACGAAGTGCGCCCCACATAATCGGGACTGCTGGCTCGGCTCCCAAGCCTTCCTCGGGTCTGTCGGGTGAGCCCGCTTCACCGCGTTTACCCACGCCGCTCTTCGATTTGGGTCGAATTTCGCAGAGGGAAAGCAAAAGAAGCTCTTCCCCTCCCCCTTCCGATGCCAGTTTCGACACCCAAACGCGACACAGTGCGTCGGCATCGTATCGAACGACGTCGGGATGGTGCCGGGAGCCTCAGACTAGCGCAAGATGGAGACTTTGTTTTCCTACGCCACTAATCCGGCCTGGCAACATGTGCCTCGGGTTACCCTCGAACCGGAAACTCGGAAAGTGGTGTATTATGGTGCCTGGATCGCGTCTTCGACTGGTGTGTTTAGCGTCCTATCCCGCCCATACATCAAAAGTGGTCCCGATGTGGCAACAAATGACGCGAATGTCATGCTGTTGCCTGTCGCGATCCTGGCGGTTGGCCGTAGAAATGCTGGCGAAAAGCACGAGCGAACGCGAGTGTCGCTGTCGTCACGGCGTCCCTTTAGGCGTCCCAACTCCGGCTCCTCTAGCTTCCGTGAACTGTCACAGTAGAAAGCGACCTGCAGCAGAACAGGCATCTGCCACATACACCACAGCTGTTGGGACGCCGCCAGGGTCGCGACCGGCGACAGCATGACACTTTTATGACGTCATCAGGCGGAAATCGAGGGACCACTTTTTTGGCCGCGGTAAACACACCAGTCGGAGACGCGTTCCAGGCACCATACTGCAATGACTTTTTTACTAATTTTTAATTTGCACCGAACCTGAGCGCACTGACCGTAGTAACTTAATGAAACTTTTCTTTTCTCGAATTTCGCTTTATTTTAAAAGTTATAGGCAAATCAAAATTACAAAAAACAAGCAACAAATAAGCTCCCTCATGACGTCCTTGGTTGCTTGAGTGGCTATGAACTAGAGGAGGGATAGTGAGCTAAGCGAGCGCTCACGGCTGCCGCACTCCGTGTCGACGGCGCGAGAGGGCGCCACTAAGGCGTGTTCTGGATAGGCTGTATACAGCGGGCAGCCAGAGCAGCTCTCATTGCATTTGCTGCGCGATTAAACACTAATTCGGCATGACACTTCATTGGCCACAAACGACAGCAAACACGGGGTAACGATCAGTTCAGAATGGGAGCCACTTCGCACTGCCATACCGCGAAACGGCCAAAACGCAAGACAAAACTGCTCGCTGAAAGCCTTCGGAACGCTCGGAGCCGGTCGGATCCTCCCGTCCGTAAACGAGCGCAGCGCCGCCGCGTACATCCGGGACCTTTCCGTGTCGGCGCCTGATCTCATTCTCACTACTACTTTCTAGTATGCGCCGCCTTTTCCACCGCTTGGTGGCGGGTATGTCGACGGGTAATTTTTTGTTTCCGTACTTTATAAACTGCATTTGTTTCTTTTCTGATCTAAAATACTGAGCAAAAACTACTTTTATAGATAATTGAAACGGCTCGCGCCACTTATATTTTGTATTTCGACTAAAAAGAAGCTTTTAGCGGCTCTGACCAGTAGTAAGCCCAGGACCAAAGACGTCACATTTCGCGCGCTTTCGGTACCGCGGGTCGCCCCCGTCGGTAGAGGATGTTTCCGCGTCGTCCGGTTAAAATATGATGCACTTATATTTAGTTACTCTTTCTGTGCCCGCTGGCTTGCCCGAACCCCAAGAGACGTGGAAACCGCAAAAAAGGTAGACGCTTAAATATGATTGCAGGGCCCCTTTAAGTACCTGCACACCAACACGACTAGTACGCTGCTGGAATCGACTCCATGCACAGCGGCAAGAACACATCCCCTGACAAAGTGCTACTTCTACGCCGCAGAACGAGGGACCGTATACACCATGTCACAAAACCTGTTTTAAAACCCATGAGTTCATTGCTTTACAAATCTGAAAGATTTCTTATTATATTAAATTAAATTCTTTATGTGTTTTCCAGGCGACGAATAAAACGTGTATTGACGTTCTATTAATCCGGTCCAGCGGCCTATCACAAGGTGAAACAAAGTATGCAGAGACTAAAGTCAAAGGAAATGAGCGAGAATCCGCTAGCTTGCTTGTAACCCTAACCATAGCCTCCTCTATACTGAGATAGGAGTATAGAGGAGGCTATGCCCCCAAACCCACTTGAATGTAAAACATATAACACAGAAAAGAAGCATCGGATCAAAGACCAAGTAAAAGGCGGACTTACACGCAAAAATGCAGTATAAGAAGACGAGCGCCGGAGCAAAGCGCAATAGGAGAAGAGAGAAGTGAATCTTGATTTGTTTTAATGCGGAAGCGAACCCACAGTTCGCACTTCAAAGGAGTGCGCGTGAATGAACGTGGAAGGCAGCAGGGTTGGCCGTTTGCTAAACAACGCTCCTCGAACTATAAGGAAACAGTAGTACCCTTGTTACACGGGCACACTTAACTGCAGTTACGCTAAACCAGAATTAGCGCACAATACTTGCCGACAACATTCTGCGGCGATGCAGTCAGAGCTATGGGCGAACGTGCGCTCGAGCATCTTGAGTACCCATCAAAGCAGTGCACGTGCTCTCTTCACTTCTTTTGAAATAGCTGTCCGAGGGTATAGTGCGGCCTCTGTGCTGCCACGTAACCGCAGTTAAAGCTGAGTTAACCGCGGTTAAGTGTGCCCGTGTAACAGGGGTATAACTGATCATCTTTCGGAGGTGAGCGAGGCAACGAGTTGTCAGAGCTCTGCGAGTTATGGGTCGCCCCCGCTACCAGATCTCAATATGTGCGACGGCATTCTCCATGCCGTCGCAACAAAAAAAAAAAAAGAAAAAAAGAAAGACAAGGAAGATGAGGAGTTGTGCCATGGCAGTTTCTTTCTTTGCCGCTCCCTTCGCTTCTTTTGCTTGGTACTTGGTTTCTTGTTTCGCTCTCGTGTACCACCAGTGAACCCAGTCGCCTGCGTGTGCGCGTCCGTGAAAGGCGCCACCACCACCCCCCACCTATCTCCCCTTTGCTCTTTACATTGACGCTTGTTTTTTGGATTACAATTTTTGCGTATAGACCGACACGCGGAGCGACTCTGTTTACCAACACGGTCGGAAGGCCGCGCATGCGCGGTAGCTATGTGGGCCAACGCAGCCCGGCTCTCCGTGTTTTCGCCATTGCGTTCTATGGCGTGCGCTCGTTGTTGACATTGTAGGGACGCTTGTATCTTTATTTGTGCATCGTATTTCCTCACAACGTATGTCGTATGCTATGCCCGACTATTTAAGCTCGCTGCCCGAGCCTGAACGGCAGCGGTATCGAAACAAACTGTGCGTGGACGGCGTTGCCTTCGAGGATCCGTTCGCCGTAAACAATGCCTGCTGGACTTCCGATGTAAACTTGCTGCCGACGTCGACGGCTCAGGTCGTCATTTATTTAGTTTTTTCTCCGATGTAAACATGCTGGCGAAGTCGACGGCTCAGGTCGTCATTTATTTAGTTTTTTCGCCAAGCCAGTTCACGGCCGACACGGTGTAGGCGTAGAATAAGTCTCGCGAGGACTACGATTACTTCGAGTCGGTTTCCGCACTGCCGGCGGGATCAGCAGACTGTGGGTCTGCGGAAGTGTGTGTATTCATTAATTGATTAAATACACACAGCGTCTTCAAGTTGAGGTATGATATTTTTCCTACCCTCATGACCACAAGGCATGACACGCTGCAACGCTTTGTCCGTTCTGCAGTCTTGGCGGTAACAGGTTACACGTAACGGCGTTGTTGGTAACGCGTTACTTTTTTTCAGTAACGTAGCAAGCTACTCGTTACGTTTTTGACACAGTAACGCGTAACGTACTTACGTTATTAGTTCAAGTAACGTAGTTACGTTACTCATTACTACTTCCCAAGTCTTAAGAAATTACACTTCAATTTTTCCCGTGTTTTAGGCGTCAAGCCATGTTTTTACTTGCGTTTTTTCTCTTGAGTATTTAGGTGAAACCGTAAAAAGAGACAGCGTAATTATGTTCAGTTTCTGCATGAACATAATGTTTCTTGACATTTGACCTCTATCGTCAAAACCGTAAAATATGTTAAATCATAATTTTAAAAAAGTAACGCGGAAGTAACGTGCGCTACTTTTTATCGGTAGCGGTAACGCGTTTTTTTTCTAATTTTTAGGTAACGTAGCTCAGTAACACGTACCTTTTATTGTCAAGTAACGAGTAACGAATTTCGTTACTTTTTTTTTCGGTAACGCCTACAACACTGCCGTTCTGTCGCCGATCCCCTTCTGCTGGGTAGCACGGGCGTACCGAGCCTCCGACGAACGCTTGGCCGATGCTTTGTGCACGAACACCATGGGAACAAAATTCGGGTGGTCTCGATCAGACAACGGTTTCCCTGCTCATAAGCAATCCTCGGGACGAAGATTGAAATGGAAGCCGCACTTGCCTTCAAGAAAGTGTTTGACGCACAAACGGTCGTTCACGCGAGGGGACCATTCTTTTCGATCCACGGATATTATCCACCTTCTATGCCTCTGCAGAGTCTGCCGGGAACTTGTGGAAACTCACTCCGCTGCTTTTCTTGTACATTTCGGTGCAATTAAGGGCAACACAGCTTCGCGGCATGCTGAAATGTTGCGACGCCCATACGAAACGTGCGCGCTTTTGCCAACACCCCCCGGCTCCGGCGCGATCGCAGCGCCGCCGCAGCTTCGTGACGTCAAGCCCGCGTGTCGGTCTATAGACCGTTTTACTGAAAGAGGGCGAGAGAGAGAAGGGGGAAGGGCTACCGGCGCTTTCCCCCTTTCTGATTGTGTAGAAAGAGTGAAATTCCCGGATGATAGGCTTCGCCGGTGTTGGGTGTCTGCTGTGCCCGAAGTTCGTTCGCGGTTTCTTTTCTGTTTTAAACTAGCAAACTTAATTAGAGCCAGAGGCTTCGATGGCAACAGCCCCCCGGTCATCGGGACACCATTTTTGGGTCATAGGGTGCACGAATTAAAAACAGAAAGCATAGAATACTGTCTGAGGACATATGTAGCTTTCAAGGAATCCGGCAAGGCGAGAGCGGCTGCAATGTCTTTGAGCTCCATCGCTTTCCACATGACCCCTCCCCTGTCTCCGGTGGCAGTGGATTGCGCCCGTAAACCGAAAAGGCGTTCCCTCAACGCCATCCTCTCGACTTCGCTCGGAACATTTTGTGAATGGAGCGCGCACCGAACGCTGTACCGCCGATGAACAT